GTTGTTTTCCCGGAAAACCCGATGTTTTCCGATAAAATAGTATAATCGCTTTGTATTATTGTATTATCACAACAAATGAATATGATTTCCCTTGATTACTTAGATGGTATTGGATATCTATGTGAGTCGTTATAACCATGCATAATAATGACTAGTTCGTCTGTCTTGGCATTCTTGCGAATGCCGGTATTGAATTATGATTTTGTCAACCTAGATTGACCGAGTCTAACTGTAACGAACTGCTTAGGTGTGGGGAATCACCCCCCCCCCCCCCCGGTATAGATCTATACACAAACTCTTGCTCTCCCTCCAGGAGACTCTGGTTATAACTACAGACTACGACCGACACTTATTAGTGTCACCCGCTATTTCCCACTAAATCCAACTGAAATTGAATAACCTTGTTTAACAACCTAATTTATGTTTACTTGAATAAAAGGGTAAGCCTAATAGACAAAAAGAAGAGGGCAGCAGAGGCCCACTAATCATGTATGTTATTATAGACTGTCGAGTATGCGACGAACACGTTGGTCCATTACACATATGATTGATTTGGACCTTACTAGCAATGCAAATGGGCCACTAAGGCCTAATAGCATGTAAAAGCCATTGAGGGTCCATTAGGCATGTAATTGAGTCACCTAAGGCCCAATATACATGTGTGATTATATTGCGTCCAATAATCATGATATTAGGCCACAAAGACCCAATAGCACGAACATAAGATTTTTTGGCCCAATCATTAAATCATTTATATTTTATCGAGTTTAAATTCGTATTGTTGGGATTTGTTGTATGCTAAATGTTTATTCGCAATGTAAAAAAAATATCTTAATGTTTTATTTATAACGAAGATTTAGTTATATATATATATATATATATATATATATATATATATATATATATATATATATATATATATATATATATATATATATAACCATGCGTTATAAACTTGATATTTTTAACCCAAAACTTTATAATCGTATATTTGGACCAAAAACATTTAGATTGACCATCGTTTCCCCCTTTTCTATAAAAATGACACTTTTAGTCCCTTTTTGTAAAAGTTTACATTTTTGGTCCTTGAACCAGTTTTCTTGACATTTTCCACCCAAACTTTATTTGAATAGAAATTTTAGCCCAAAGCTATTGCATTTGTCATTTCCAGTCTTTATTTGTAAAAAGTTAAAAATTTTGTCCCAATTTCCGTAAGTTTTACTATTTTGACCCCAAAATCAAAAACTTTGCATTTTTAGTCCAAATTTGGTAATAAACTCATATTTAACCCCTAAAAAAGTTTATTTACATTTTAGACCCATAGTTTGTTAAATTTTCAAATGCAGCCCCTCAAAACCTTATTTTTTCGCAACCTTGGGCCCAAACCCATTAGGCCCACTTTTAAGCCTATTAAGCTAAAATTTATGTTTTTGACCGTTTGAAAAGTGTTATTTTCATAAAAACCAGCTTTTATACAAATAAAAAACTTATAACCCTTATAAAACCAACAATTTACAATTTATACCCAATCTTTGTTATTTTTGCAAAAATGACACTTGTAAGGTTCTTTTGGTTTTGTTTTTCACTTTTTAAACTTAAGGACTCTTAGATCTATGATGTATGTTGTTTATTATGTTTTTGTTTATAATTCTTTCACCCTTTTTGCTATAGATCACGGAATATAACAAATATTACATATTATCACAACCAAAAACTAAAGAAATCACATATAGCATTCAAACACACATAGATCATCACATAATACTTGTATTCTCCCCCCCCCCAACCCAAAAAAAAACAAGTAAAAACCAAAAACAAGGGGGTATGAACTCACCTTGCTTAGTTGTATCGGTTTAGAAGACGATATGAAGAAGATTTTTGGTCCTAGCAACACCTTGATGTGGATCTCGAGTTCTATGGAATATTAGAGTATGGATCATGAAATAAAATGTTTAAGTAAAATGATTTAGCTTAAAATGAAGTTTATGCATCTAGGAGTTATGGTAACTTACCAAAGATTTGATGATCTAGTGAAAGATCCTCTTAAATGCACCTTAGTTCTTTAAGAATTTGAAGGAGGAAAGGAAAAACTTTTGAGAGTGTTTAAGAGAGTTCTTGCAAGAAGAATTGAAGAATTTTGTGTGTGTGCCTCTTGTCTCTCGGCCGAAGGAAAGAAAAAAAGAGGGGGAAAGAGAGAAATGCATCGAATCTCCATAGGCCCAATATTATTTTTTGGCCTATTGGGCTCTTAAGGGGGTTCACAGCCTAATTAGCATAAAAGAATGGGTTTTATGGACCATTAAGGCTAATTTGATTAGTTAGGGCCCAACAAGGCCCATTAAGATAAACCAATTCATTTTTGGATACATCATGACCCAAAATGTTAAGTTTTATGAAAGTGGGTCCAATTAGGGCTCATTTAAGGGTCCTAAGCCCAAAATAATCAAATTGGAAGCTTATTGGTCCATTAGGCCCAATAAGGAAATCCTAGTCCATAATGGACTTAAACCGGGATTTTAGGGTTTTCAATCTTTTGTTGACCAGTTGAAGTGTTTGTATAGAGTGTTTGATGGAATTTTGTTGTTATTGAATAAACATCATGCATACTTTCAAGTTTTAGTCACAAATGTTACTCTTGTTAATGTTTACAAAACCTTAGAATTTCTAGTTATGACAGTCTTCAACGGCGGTGGGTGTAGCGGTGGCGATTCGGTGATGCAAGGCGGTGACAAGGAACTTGGAGGCGACAGCTGGATGTAGGGGATATACGAGTGGCGTCTGTTGCATGAGATTAGGGTTAGGGTTTATATTCCCTTATTTTTGGAAGCTAAGAGGAGGGTGACGAGGTATAAACCCGTCCATAATCAAACTTAACCCTTTATTACACTTCCAGCCCCTCCTCTAAATTTTTCTTCAACTTACATCCATAGTTTACCAAACAACCCTCAACCTTCATAATTCTTTACAATCCAAGTCTAAAAGTTACAATTTAACCCTCCATATTCATAAATACAACTTTTAACACCCCAATGCATACACCCCGTTAATAATACGTAGAATTAAAATAAAATATAAAAAAAATACATCTTAAAGTTTTTAAGTATCATTATTTATTTAATTACTTATTTTTCTTTAAATAAAATGTTACATTGGAGATGGATTAAGGAAAATAAAATACATCATAAACTCATGTAAACATCGCCAATATAGTATGAAAATCATATTTACTATTTCATCCAAACCCTTATACGAATTTGGGGAAAAAGAGGAATAAGAATACCTTTGATGCAATATTTTGGAAGGATTTGAGTAGAGATTCATCAAGCAATTACAATCAACAAAAAACCCGTTGATTTAAGGTGGAAAATCGTTCAAATGGGAGGAAAATGGTTGAAAACGTGATTGAGGGGAAAATGTAGAAGAAGAGGACTTCAAATTGACTCATCTTTGGTCACTTAAGCAACTTTGGTCCTTCCTTGAAAAAAACCTTTTCAAAATTACTCCAAACTAACTAAGGAACAACCAATAACTTTCCAAAATTGCCCCTTTCCATCCTAACCTCTACAAACTAAGTCCAAGTCACTAAGTTGGTCAACTCTCAAGTCAAACCTAAGTTTCACCCGTTCGACACAAATGACCCTTCTAACCGAAATACTTTGCGAGACATTTAAAATTTATTATTTTACAAATACCAACTAATGAAAAGATTTTTTTTATCGTTTCCTCACATTTCCATTATTTAATGTCTTTCACCTCGATGTATTTTATTCAAATTAAAGAAAGATTATTATTTTACCAAAAAGCCTGTAACTTTTAGCCCAAATAACAAGATGTTATAGATGGCAAAGATGAGTATTGACCGAACCAAAGATTGATTGTTTTGTTGAAATGGGTGTCAATGGTGTGACAGAGTTGACAACTCCGACAACAACTCTGGTGGTGGTTCAGGCGGCAACTCTAGTGGTAGAGAGGAAGGAGGACTAACCGATGGAGGAGAGTAAGAAGGACTAACCGATGGAGGAGAGTAAGAAGGACTAACCGATGGACGAGAGTAGGAAGGAAGTGGTTGATTAGGTTAGTCTTTATGGTATGGGTGGGCCCAAGACATTTAATATTAATATGAAAAGTAACATTAATAATTAAAAGAGTTTAAGAAAATATAGAAAGGGTAAAATAATCTTTTGGGAATCTCCGATCAATTTCTAATATTTTGGATCAAATTACGGTTTAACTGATTTTTGTTTTTAAATCCTGATTATCTGAATTTATACGATAATAAATCATTTATGTTGAAAAAAATAAGAATTGTTTCATTAATTTGGACAAAATACAAAATAATCGGGACTTTTTGTTCTAAAAATAAAAAATAAAGATTAAACCATAAACAAACATAAAATAATTAGACTTTATTGGAGATTTTCCATAGTCTTTTTACGTAATACATGAACGAGAAACGTAACAAAATCATATCATAGAAATGGCCCGAATGCAAAAAAACCGTCAGGACTAAACACACAACTGTCATACCATAGGGACTATTTCAATAATTTACTCTTTTTCAATACCCTTAAATTCAATATGTATAAATGTAGCATCTTTCAAAAAAAAAATGTAAAAATGTAATGTTTTTCACAAATTATTTACTTCCATGTTATTTAGTATCAATAAGTTTTTAGAAAGGTAGTTCGCTTTAATGGCAATATATCATGTGAAATTTATTTTCAAAAGTGTTTAATAACCTATGCAATGAAGAGGTTTTTTTTAGTGTGAAGAAAGAACAAAATAGCCGGCCTACTAATATGTTCCTCCCACCCCCACCTTTTTAACTAAAAACTCAGCAAAAAACAAACAAGAAACTTGCGTTGAATTTCCTCTTCAAATCATCATTTTTTCCAACCAAGCACATGAAACTACATCCACACATTAAAGACAATACAATGAGCATTTTCAGATGTAGTCAAAAATTGAAATATAAACAGACATACACAAAAATCACTAAATCCAGATGTTCTTGAATCTCATATTTAGATTTAGCAAGTTTACAAAGAAATGGAACAAACGATCATCAATGCAGATAAAAAACAAGTGTTTTGACATCGATCAAAACCCTAAAATACCATTCCATTGTTAACATAAAATCAGAGATATTGTTTGAATCTACTACTACTACAACATAGACCTCTGTAAACGAATGAAATAACTACACAAGCATATATCAATGGAGTAAGGGCTAATTAGTAATTACATACGTTTATTACCACCACCAGGAACATCGATCCAACTCAATTTAATTTCAATTTCACCACATTCAACATTTCGTAATCTAAGAACCATGTTTTGGACAACTCTTCCATCTGTCCATGTTATGTAGCTTTCTTCAGCCAAGCAATTCGTCCTCGTTGGTTTCACAGTTGTGATGATCGTGTTGTTTAAGATATCAGAATTCAAACGCATCCTCACAGCTTCCAAGAATGGAGTGAAGTCGAATTCTGCATCCCCCATTCTATCATCTGCTGAAAATAGATCCCTATCGTATACTTCCTGTATCAACAATAATGTTTCAAAATCTGAAATCAATTTGATGATAATTTAGGGGAAGAGAATCAAGAAATTGAAGAACAGCTTACGAGTTTAACGGGAAGAGGCTCTACAATCGAGAGAGTTAAATCTTCATCCCACACAGGATTTAGGTTTTTCTTCACCACTCGAGTCTTCAATTTCTGTACAAAAATTAGGGAAAAGTTATTTAATTATCAGAATTCTTTTTATTGTTTTTCATCGGCGTCACACCGGGATTATTTTCCGGCCGTTGTTTCGTGCTACATTGGGCGGAAATAACAAAGTATCGATCGTAATCAATTCTACACCAACACCGGCTGCCACCATCAGCCACCGCACAACCACCACCATTTTCTTAGTAGATTCAAGACCTCGGCGGAAGAAGTCGATGTAAATTTCGACAACGCAACAAACTTCCGAAGTTTCCGCAAGTTTCATTGATCACCCAGCAATTAATACTAGAAAGTAGAATCTCTCCACGAGGAAAAGGAATGAAGAAAAAAATTAATAAAAGTTCACTCACCTGTTTTCCCATTCGGATGATAACGTAAGGATCGCTGCTACGTAGATCTCGAATTGCAAGGTTTACACCTTTGTGGATATGAACTCTGAGCAAACCCAACAAGGAATCCGACGACATATGATAATGATATGCTTGAAATCAGTAAACCAGCTAATCAGTGAAATTAACCTGAGAATGCAAGCTTGAACTTCTGTATTTGACAAAAGAGAGACAAAGGGGTTGAGTATTTCAACGCGGAGTTGAGGTTTATATATTGGTTTCCTGGTCTGAAGTCTCGGCTACCAAACTTAAGCCTCTAGTTGGAACCCATATATAGAAGGAGACACGGTGCTAATTGATGGGTTCAAATTAATTATTGATTATTTAATTATAAAAAATAATAATAAATCGTATCATCTCAACCGTTCATTTTGAACCTGTCACACTGGTTTACCATCTCAACCGTTCATTCTGAACATCTGAAATGAAGGGCACTTGCATAACATTGAACATTTATTTTGAATGTATCAGCCTATTCTATAACACCTGTTCAGATTTTGAATGTCTTAGGATTTAAACTTTATATATTATTTTAATCACCGAACTCTTGTTAAGAAATTTTATTTAATTATTTGTTACTAACAAACGGGTAAATGCTTATTGTGTGGGCCACACAATAAACTACCAGATGTTGTGGTACCATTTTCATCAAAATATTGTGAAATTCTTTCTTTTTCTTAATCTTATTTTATTTGAAATATTCTGAAATTCTCTCTTTTATATGAACCTTGTATAGAGAAAACAACCCATGATACCATTAGTCTAGAAATCATTTTGTATTAAATAAACATATTATATATATATATATATATATATATATATATATATATATATATATATATATATATATATATATATATAAATTAAAGTTATATCTGAAAAGTATTATTTTTACCTTTAACTGTGGTACTTGTTAGCCACTTAGCGAGCAATAGAATAATGTAAAATTGGAAATTTATCATAAAATATTAATTTCTTCAACAACTTCAAAATAATTTATTTTAAGGATAAAGTGAATATCTTTTGTAAGAGGAAGATATGGTTTATGCAAAATGATTATTAATCGTATCTTATAGAATTTTTTATTGTTGGTTGCTGCCCTCCCTCCCAACCTTTCAACAGGAAAAACATTAAAGAACATAAGAAAAGAGATTCCTATTACTTTATATATATACTTTTCAGTTCGAACCAAAGTATGATAGTTCTTCATTATGAGGGGATGGAATTATTTATTTATTTATAATTTTCTATTAAAATATTTAAGCACCTAATTAAAAAAATATACAATTCGAAGAAGAGATAATTGCATCAATTAACTTTTATATTAGCTCCATTATTGGTTTGAACACAATTCCTTCCTTCTCTCAAATATTCCATCAATTTGAATAAATACCATTTGTTTTATTTTTAATGTATAATGATTATTAAATATCAAAACTAGCTTTTGATAATAAACTAGGTGTGAGACCCATGTATTACATGAGTTTAATTAAAAAAAACAAATATAAAATTTTAACAATTTGAAAAATTTGAATTTATAAGAAAAAAAAATTGAATTATTAAAATTAATGAGATTTTAATGTATTGAATACATTACATATATAAACTATTTCTAATAAATACTTTACATATATATTACCTTACACATTAAATGTGAAATTTTAATTTAATAAAATGATAAGTAGAAAATATAAATTTTAAAAATTTTAGAAAATGCATGTGTCCAAATGAATAAGAAGATGATACGTGGCAAAAAAACCTTCATTTATTATAGGAGATTTAAAATAACTTATGTATGGTAGTTAATTTATAAAACGTTTTTATGAAAAAATAGAAATCCATAGGAGGATCTTTGTAACAAAAGAAAATATTACACTTTTTAACAACTCAAAAAAAGTAAGAATATTTTCTAGTTCAAGTTGACAATTACTATATAGCCACTATTACACTCGTATAGAGAGGTACACAATAATATAATTGGGGGTACATATAGAATTTTCTTTTTTTAGAACAATTTTCTAAATTTTAATATTTTTTGGTAACGATTATTATTAGATATCTTTTTGAGATTTGATTAATAAACAACTTTTTTTTTCTTTAACTTAATATTTTTTCCGAAGCACATCAACCGTATACCATCCAATACCCATCACCGATTCAAGAGGGAAAGAGCACCTCCATCTTTCACGTTGTTGACTGTTGTCTCTGTTTGAAGGGCCCAACATTAGGCAAATTATGGGCCATAATATTATGGTAAGGCTCTTTTATCCAGACCCAAATACACCCATCTGGTGCAACTGTAATTCAATTAGCCATCAAACATTATTTATAGTCTCCTAAGTAACATCTGATAATATTTAATCCATGAAGTTTCGACTTTTTGTCATTGTTTTGGTTATTTTATTATTATTATTATTATTATTTAATAGAATCAGGCAAACGTCAGTCGTTCCCTCTTATTCACGTGAATATAAATATGTCACAATATTTACACTTGACAACCTGTAAAACACAAATAATACAATCTATCACAATATATATTATATAATCGTCTAGTCTAATATATCCCCTTTGTCTAAGGAGGAGGTTGACGAATGCTTAGACTGGAACGAAAATCATCGAATAGGACACGAGGTAGGCCTTTTGTAAAAATGTTAGCAAACTGATATCTTAAGGGTACATGTAACACTCGAGTCTGCCCTCTTTGAACTTTCTCCCTAACGAAATGAATGTCGATCTCAATGTGCTTGGTACATTGATGTTGAATTGGATTTTGAGATAAATATATGGCACTTACATTATCACAATAGACCAAAGACGTGTGTCGAGGTGGTAAACCAAGCTCTAAAAGCAGATTCTGTATCCAAAAAATTCCGGCGACTACATTAGCGACCCCTTTGTATTCCGCCTCAGTGCTAGATCGAGAAATAGTTGTTTGACGTTTGGATGACCAGGAAATCAAGTTGTCCCCGAGGTAAACACAGTAGATTGAGGTAGAACGACGGGTGTCCGGGCAACCCACCCAGTCTGCATCAGTGTAGGACACAAGGTTGGTTGGTGAACTGAAATTCATGTATAATCCCATATACATTGTGCCCTTAACATTTCGAATTATGCACTTTAGAGAGTTCCAGTGGGCAGATCGAGGTGCATGCAAACTTGTTGAACAACGTAAGATATGTCGGGTCTGCTGAATGTCAAGTACTATAGAGCCCCAACAAGGCTTCGATAGGTAGTGGGATCGTCAATTAAGTATGGAGGTGATGGGATGTTCTGTTGAGTATTGGTATGCCAGAGACACAAATAAGTATGGATGAGAGGTGGTGTGTCGGCGGTAGTAGTGGAATTTATAGGTGGCGAAGTCTCTGGGGATGTGGGTGTGGGTCTAATTGACTTGATATTCTGAGAAGAGTTAGGAGATGTTGGATTGGAGACAGGAGATTTTTGGTCAGTGGGATAGTTAACCGAATCCCAGACGGTTGTATGTGGTTCGATTGTGACTGAATGTTGAAGGAAGTCATAAACGGGAGGGGATGAGTGAAGTTTAGCAAAGGGGAAAAGATGTTCATCGAATACAACATGTCGTGATATGATGATCTTGTGAGAGGAAAGTTCGTAGCATTTATACCCCTTGTGATTGGAGGGTATCCAAGAAAGACACAACGAGAGGATCGGTTTGCAAGTTTATGACTGGAGGTGGAAGGTGTGAGAGGATAGCATAGGAAACCGAAAACTTTAAGGTGATCATAGGTGGGATATTTGTGAAAAAGAAGGAAAGTAGGAGTAGAATAGTGTTTTGTTTTGTGGGGAAGAATATTGAGAATGTAAGTTGCCATTTGAAGGGCATGGTGCCAAAAGGTGGTAGGGAGAGACCCGTGAGCAAGGAGAGTGCGAGCCATATTATTGATGGTGCGGATGGTTCCCTCCACTTTCCCATTCTGAGGCGATGTGTGGGGACAAGAAAAACGAAATTGCATGCCATTAGTAGTGCAGAAGTTATGAAAAGACTTGTTTTATTCGGTGCCATTGTCACATTGGAAACTTTTGATGGGATGTTCAAATTGAGTGGTTATGTGTTTATGGAAGTTGAGAAAAACATAGAAGACTTTTGATTTGTGGGATAGTGGGTAGGTCCATAAATAATAAGTGTAATCATCAATAAACAACACATAATAACGGTGACCTCCCGAGATAAGAACGGGTGGGGTCCATAGATCACTATGAACAATATCAAAAGGTAAAGATGTAAAGGACGTAGAAGCATAAAATGGTAACTTGATATGTTTGCCAAATACACAAGACTGACTGATATGTTTATTGGAAAAAGAATGAACATAAATAAACTTGTTTATATTTAAAACACGTAAAGAAGAAGATACGGGATGTCCCAACCGATGATGCCAAAGATCTTGTGACAAAGCAGCAAATGTGGAAGGACTTGTGACTTGTGTATTTGGCAGTGAAAGAGGGTAGAGATCTATGGTGCTATCACATCGGAGGATAGGAATCCGCGTTTGGTAATCCTTCACAACACAACCAAAAGGGTCAAATTCAATAGTAACAGAATTATCAGTGGTAAGGCGACGGACAGACAAAAGGTTTTTAATGAGGTTTGGAGCATGCAAAATATTTAAGAGTTTGAGAGGTGGGAAGGGAGGATGAAGTGTAGTGTATCCGGAACCATGAATCGGTATGTGTGAACCATTACCAACTACAATACAGTTCAGTCCGCTATTATTGACATAAGTTGAGATGTTACCTGTGGTATTTGTCATGTGATTGGTAGCGCATGTGTCAAGATACCAGTTGGGGTCTGGATTCAATGTCATGGTGTGCATGGCCTATTCGATTTTAGTGGGAGTGTATGAAGCTTCAGCGGCAGCATAAGCATGTGCAGGAGAAGGACCCAGAATACCGGCTGTTGGTGGGAGAAACTGATAACGAGGAGCTGTAGGGTATGGAACCGGTGGAGAATTCCAAGTAGGGCCATTCCAGTTCATTCATGGCGGCTGCTGTTGTTGAGTGTATGATATGCGCGCACGACCGCGTCCCCGACCCCTTCCGCACATACCCCTGCCCCTGCCACGATAAAGACCTTCAGATGTGCCTCTAACTGAAGACCAAGGATGGTGAGATTGGGGTGTTTCTGAGATATCACGCTGACCGTGAGTGCCAGAAGTCACGACATTGGCTGATGGCGATGCGATTGTGGTGACGGATGAAGCTGTAAGGGCATTACCAGTGGGTGTTTGTAGAGATTTCCTAGTTTCTTCAAGACATAAATTTGATCGGGTAGTGTAGCAGTTGGGAAGCAGTGTGGATTGTTGGAGAAGGGTAGCAATGCTATCGCATTGATCTGTAAGGCCAGCGATAAGTTGCAGTACCAAACGTTGATTATCAACAGGAGCATCCACATCAATGAGTTGGTCTGAAAGGTTCTTGACTTCTTGACAGTAGGCAACCATATTGGCAAAGTTTCAAGTTTGGTGTTGATGAATTTTTGTTGAAGGTATAGAGCTCTGGCAGGTTTACTATCAATGAAGATATGTTTTACTGCTTTCCAGACATCAGCTGCGGTGGCTCCTGGAGTGAGGATGGTGATCAGTAGATCTCTAGATATTGTCCCATATATCCATTGCAAAACAATGGCATCTAGGTGGGAGCATTGTTCATTGGTCTTGACAACAATATCTTTATCTTTTTCACTGGTAGAAGAGGGAGTGACTTTAGCAGGAGGCAAGTTGTGATCGAGTACCTGGAAAGCACGACAATGGATTCTGAATAGTTCAACCCAAGATGTATATTGCCCGTTTTCAATTTCAAGAGTAATAGGAATGTAATTTCGGATGTTTGATGCAGTAACGAGGAGTTGACATTGTATTAGATGAGATCAAATGAGTAGAACAGGAAGAAGAGATGAGAGGGACGATGATCTACAACTAGGGTTGAAGAATATCGGCTGCTAGGTTTCACAGAGAAGATGTCACTCTGATACATTAATAGAATCAGACAAAAGTCGTCCATTCCCTCATATTCACGTGAATATAAATAGGTCACAATATTTACACTTGACAACCTCTAAAACACAAATAATACAATATATCACAATATATATTATATAATCGGCTAGTCTAATCCCTATTCTAATAAAAGAATAGTTTTATTCTCTTTTTGACATGTGTCATCCTATTAGGCCTCCTAATTAATGCATATTTTATTCTCCTTTTGTCATGTGTCACCTTATTATGTCTCCTAATTAATGTATGCCACTTGTCAACTCCATTTCAGATTTTAAAATTTCCACTTTAATTACATTAAATTAATAATATTAGAATAAAAATTAAATAAAAATAATAAAAATGATATAATTTCACATATTTATTTAAATCATTGATTAAAATTTATATAACTAAAAAAACTCTTAATTAATAATTTATTTAAAATAATTAATTAATAATTTTGAGTTTTTACTATAAAAATTTAATTAATTTTGTAACCGTAGTTCCCACGAATTATAAACTAATATTCTTAATAAATTTGACGTCAAACCAAAATGAAATAGTTGATAGGTTGGGGAACAAAATGGAATGATGAACAAAGAATTATAAATTTTTGGTGATTTTAGAGTTTTTTAGATATGAGAAAATTACAAATATACTACTTAATAATATGAAATTTAAGAAAATGATCCAACTTTTGAACATTAACAATTTGACCAACATTTTTAAGATGGGACAAAATTATTTCGGATTAACTTTATGTTACATCAAAACTAAATGTAGACAAAAAGTACATCTTAGCTTTAGATTTCGGATTTTAGACTAAACCTTAACAAAACCTGACTTCAAGTTTTGTTCCCACAAGCTTAAGCTCTTTGGTAGCACACATGCCTCCATTTTTCTTGCACCAAGAAAGTTGCTTGCATGACTACATGAGGTTTACACTCATTATCCAAAAAAACTAGCATTTTCTTTCTAGCTAATTGAAACTATCCAAGATTCATTTATCACTCACATTAAAAAATTATATTTCTCCACTTCAGACTTTCATTGTATACCTAGGGGCTAGGGATGTCAACGGGGTAAACGGGACAGGGAGTGCATCCCCCGCCCCGCCCCCAAAATTTCCTTGTTCCCCCATCCCCGCCCCCACCCCCGAAATGTTCAGCCTTCCTACCATCGCTTCCGCCCCCGAATCCCCTTTATTACCCCCGTTCCCCCGCTCC